GAGAAATGAAACATAGACAAACTGATGATCACTTAAGTACGCAAATCCACAGAAAGGCAATTTCCTCTAGGTAAGTAACAATTTTTGTTGGACAGGTGCTAACAAAGGCTGATTCTACTGGTCAATGGCAGGTCCCTCTTAATGAGAGGTCGGCTTCTTTGCATGTGAATTAATAGCTTCTGGTGTTTTCTATATCTAAAGCTTGAGTTTTTTAAACTAAACCCATTCAATATTTCCAAGTTTACCAACTTCTGAATGCAGAGTAAATATGAGGGTATCTTATAGGTAATTATTATACTCTGAGTTTGAGACAAGTTTTCCTTTCCCTACTTTGGCTGAACAAACTTCTAAGACATATGTGTAAGTAGTTATTTATAAAAGTACTATTTATTTTTTAATAGAGATGGGGTCTTGCTGTGTTAGAACTCTTGGCCTCAAGCAATCCTCCCACCTTGGGTTCCCAAAGTGCTAGGATTACAGGCGTAAGCCATTGTGCCCCGCCTACTTATTCTAAAATGTGGCAAATTGCTTTTCTTTTGAGACAGGGTCTTACTCTGTTCAGTGGGTATGGTGGAGGCTGGAATATGGTGGTGCGATGTCAGCTCACTGCAACCTCTGCCTCCTAGCCTCAGGTGCTCCTCTTACCTCAGCCTCCAGGTGCATGCCACCACACCCGGCTAATTTTTATTTTGTTTTGTTTTGTAGAGATGGGTTTTACCATGTTGCCCAGGCTAGAAACGAACTTTTTCAAATAGGAAAATGATTAGGTAGTATCTAACTTTATTTTTAATTATGATGATAAAGACAGGAGATTTAAACACTACGGCTTAACAGAGAATTGGCCTAAGTGCCATCTAACAAAAGAACTACTGGACAAATCCAAATTTGTCTCAGACTTCAGTACAAGGTATCTAATCCTCTGTAATCTTAAATTCTTTCTGGGTCTCTGAAGCACGTTACCCAGGTACTGTTTCTCACATACTGGCTATATGACATCCCAGAAGTATACTTTCTTCCTTGTTCTCTTAGACAACTAGTCTGTGCAAAACAAACCTTAAGACATATTTTTTAAGTTTTACAGAAAGAATGGCACCAAACAATTGTCCAACTAAAATCCGTATAAAATAAGTATAGGGTACTGGAGTTAATCATTACAAAAGAGCATAGGATAAATTTTCATTTAAGAAGTCATTACTTTCCGTCTTTATGGAGGAAGACAGAGCTATCATTGTAATGCCCCCAAAATGAGTGAGATTTAGTAAGTACTAATTCTGTTAATGGTGCTTATGATTTTATATAAAGTGAAACTTCTTATTAATTAGTTCTTCATTATGTGATTTCTTTGTCTTTATGAAATTAGTGGAAGAAATAAAATTGTTAACATTTTTGGAAGAGGTCACAGTCTGAGGTTCAGATTATAGTTCTTCTATCATTTTGGACAAGCTGTTAAAATTCATATTCATTTCTTATACTTTCACTGCTGCAATTTATTGACTGCCATGGCAGAATATGATATAAAGGGAAATTTCAGAAAAATATGACTTTCCTTTTATTATTTGTTTGTTCTTTTTTTTTTTTTTTTTTTTTTTTTTTATTTTTTTTTTTTTTTTTTTTTTTTTTTTTTTTTTTGAGACAGAGTTTTGCTCTTGTTGCCCAAGCTGGAGTACAGTGGCACGATCTCGACTCACTGCAATCTCCGCCTCCCAGGTTCAGGCAATTCTCCTGCCTCAGCCTCTTGAGTAGCTGAGACTACAGGCGCGAACCACCACGCCCAGCCAATTTTTGTATTTTTAGTAAAGACAGAGTTTCACCATCTTGGCCAAGATGTTCTCGATCTCCTGATCTTGTGATCCACCCGCCTCAGGCTCCCAAAGTGCTGGGATTACAGGCATGAGCCACCGTGCCTGGCCAAATGTAACTTTCTACATAAGAAGACAGAAAAAGAAATCTATTTTGAAAGGACCTAGAATAATATTAAAGATGAAAGGCTGAAACAAATGGCTCATTCTTGCTTCTCATTATTTAAAACAAAATACTACAATTATTTTTATAATTTCCAAAGAAACTCCCTCACTAATTTCATTATTTCAAACCTACACATAAGATGAAGTTAAACTGAAGCTAACATGAAACAGGTATTATGTTATCTATTGTCTATTTCTCTAATGCTTTTATCCTTCTTCTCAATTACTGAGGATACTCATTCAATAACAAATATCACTTAGAAGACACTAGCATACAATGAAATCACATCATAATAACAACAAATGTTTATTAAGCACATAATACTTGCCATGCACTGAGCTAAACACAGATTAACTAAAAAGATAAATTTAATCCTGACAGCTAATCCTGACAGATTAATATATTGACATTTTCATTTTACATACAGATAAGGAAACTGAGGCCTAGCAAAATTATGTGGTCACACAGCTATTAAGTGATAAAATCAGGAAACATAATGAAGTATTTGAAAGCAACCACAGTTAGCGATACGACTGATTTCTCTCCAAAGCTAGAAATAGGTCTGGTCAGGTACTGTGGAAAGGTCTGGTATTATCCTGTTGCACAATCTTAGCAGATTTTATAGTAATAGCGGCAAGATCCCTCAATCATTAAAGAGCAAGTAATTGTTCCTTTAGCTTTATATCTTTAGGTAGATTCTTTCAAATGGATAAACACTTACATAACAAGAACCAAGAGTCAAGTGAATCCTGGAGGTAAGGAACAAGTGTGATGTGGGAGAATATTAGTTTTACGAGGATTCGAAAAACTGCAGTTATTCCCAAGGCAGGCACAACCGCACTCGTGTATGTACATAAACGACTGTGTAGGAGGCAATTTACTTTATGTTGTACAGTGCTGTCACATGTCACACATATATCCTTTAACTGCTCCTCCTTCCAAATACTAGAAGTTCTCTCAATCCTTGTGATTACCCAATATATATATCCCTACACATTTTCTGCTGACCCTGACAAAGAACCTTGATTGTTGGATAAAAATACTGGGAGAGAAGTAACTGACATGAATTGTACATTGTGCACCAGGGACTCTGCTAGATGCATTCACACACATTCATTTACTCTTCATAACCCTGTATGAGGTAAGTACATATTTCATCACCATTTTACAAGTGTGGCCTCTGAGGCTCAGAGCAAGGTTATGCAACTTAACCAAGGACACATAGCCAGTTTTGAAATCAACAGCGTGGCTCAAAAACTATACTACTCAAACTTGGCCTTTTAAGCCACAACAGCGAGCGAGGGAGGTGTGACTTTCCTTTCTTTAAAGAGGTTCATTCAGAAAGTACAAATTCTTCTAAGTAGGAACCACGGTGTGTACCCACTAATGAACCAGGGATAAATTCGTTCCCTGGGTTAGGGATGAGGGGCCACAGGCGCAGTGCCATAGAGTTACATGAGGTGTGTTCAAGATTTGGGCTGGGCAGCTCCTATGAACAGGTATATGTTAGAATGCATGTGTGTGTTTTCAGGGGAATAAGAGAGTTATGTTATGCTGTGTGAGGTTTAAGTGTTTCATTTAACACACAGCAGTTACTATATACCAGGCACCATTAAAATAGCTGGACAAGATCACATTTCAGCATGTATGTTAGGTGAGTGAGCAGGGTATGCATTGCGTGATGTGTGGCGAGCTGCTGTCTGTGCAGCTACATACACATAAGGTTATGGGTATTGGGCTGTGCTGGAAGGGAAAGGTCCGCTGTGATGTGTGTGTTTAGAATGGCAGTTTGTGCTGTGGTACAGATGGTAGTGTTTGAGGCTGGGGGGAGGATTATGCTGGATTACTTGTGTGCAATGCAGACGGGAAGTGCTGCAGGGGAAAGACAGTGTATGTAGCGCACATGTGGATTTTGTGTGCATTACGGATCATGCTGAATACCGGAGTTCCACAGGAAAGGATCTAGGTTGTGTCCTGGGCCTATGTATGGTGCGTGCAGGTGCTGTGGATTGGGGTGCTTCGTATGTGTAGCGGTGTGTGCTAAAAGTGGTGCATACAAGATGATTCACGCGGTGTGCTGGGTAGGGACGGGGGCTGGAGCAGTGCAGAGGTGGGCCCCGCGTCGTGATGTTGTGTGGAGCGATGCCGAGTGTGGTAGGTGGGGATGGGGGGGGCGATCGTGCTAAGTGACTCGCGTGCGTTCCCTGTGTAACCGGAGGCGCTGTATGGAGAAGCAGCATTGAGGGGTGGGGGAGCAGGCTACCTTGCTGTGAGACACCGGGCGGGCGGAGGGGCTGTGTGGGCGGCGGGCTGCCAGTGCGAGTGCGTGGAGCAGCCAGCCGGCTTCCTCACCCAGAGCCATGCCCGGCCATCCTCCCTGCCACCCCCCCTCCCGCCTCTTCCCTCGCCCTTGGACGCGCCCCCTGCACCACCGGGCCGCCCCACCTGGTAAAGGCGAAGTACATGAGGCTGACGATGGTGAAGCTGAGCAGGGTGATGGTGTGCGGCCGGTAGAAGAAGTCAATGGTGATGTCCTCCACTTGCTGCTCGTTGATCATCCGGAAATGCATTTTGTAGTTCACATCATCCTTGCTCAGCGTCCGGCTCCCCACGCAGGACGCCATGGCCCGCTTCCCCGTCCTGTCGCGGTGGCGGCGGCCCCAGCCCGCGGAGGCCGGGACCCCGGGGGTGACGAGCCACAGTAGGAGAATTGCCGGACTGCGAAGCCGGGTCTGGCGCCCAGGAAAGGCTGGGAGCTGAGGAAAGGACAGGCGCGAGAGGGCGGGGTCGCGGCGCCGCCACCGCAGCCTGGGACAGGGGGCGCCGCCGACCGTCCCCACGCTGTTGTCCCGGCCGAGGCATCTCTATGCACTCGAGGAGACTTCAGACTTCAAGTCCACGGGGACCCAGGAGAGGGGCATGCCGGAGAAGGGCAACTGGGCCCCCTGGCTGACTCTTTCTCGCCCACGCAGCCAGCCGTCTCCCCGCGCAGCCCGGCACATGGTCTCGCCCACTCCGGCCGCAGCCCACGTGGGCCGGGGAGCGCGGCTGCGCTGGGCCTGGCGGGCGGCGGAGCGGGCGTGCGGCGCCGCGGGACAGCGCGTGCGGCCCGGCGAGTCGGTCGGTCCCCGGGGCACCCGCTACGGGGCGCAGGCCTCCCCGCAGGTAAAGCAGGAGCTGCCCCAGCGCGGGAATGGCGCTCCTGGCAGGGGTTCCGGTCCTGGCGCACCTGCATCAAGGCCGCGCCCTAGGGCCTTTAGGCTTTCGCGGCCCAGTCGTGGGTGATTGGTTTGGTTTTGTGTTTTTCCCCGGCTGGTGTAATGAAAACTCAACCATGCTTGCTGATTAGCGCTGTGTGAGAATCTTCTGGAGGGGGCTCTGCCTTCCTGCGGAAGTTAGGTTTGGGGAACTGAAATGGGCTAAAATGGCCTAGGGAAGTATTGAGAGACTCTTTATTCGGAAGCTACCCCCATAACCTACCTTTCTTATTGACTTTATTTATAACCTTTCATAGGTAGAAATCTTGAACCCTCGAAAAACTATTTCAGTGCCTTTTTCTAGCAAAGCGCTAGGTACATATATATATGAGCTGTATATATCAATTGTTAATAGACTGGAGTTTCTTTAAGAGTTTTCTGTAATTTTGCTGATGAAAGGACCGTGTTAGAAGACTTACGGTTACCACCTAACAGGACTTTTATACGCATCTGCACATGCCTTACCCGCTTTTGCATACTGTGTAAGAAAGTGAGTTAACTGTACTTGCCATTGATTTCTTTCCATTCCGCAATCATTAGAGTAGTGCAGGGCTCTGGGAGAGTGGAGAATAGTCCCTAGAAGGGTGGATCCCAAGATAAGACCCAGCCCTGCTCTTGTGAATGAACAATTAATCAGTTAAGATGTGTAGGCAACAGTGAAATAGTGTGGAGCAGATAGTGCACTTGCAAATAAAAACACAAGGATAAACAGTTGTATGCACAAAGATCTTTTAATGAATGGATGAAATTTGAAAGTGAATCTTCCCGGTGTTTCAGGGGTGTTGAGTGTGGAAAGGCTTCAGGGTGAATTTGGGATTTCAGGAGTTTGAAGTAAGATGAATTGCTTAGACGTCAAAAATGTTAGAGCTGATAGGGGCCTTATGAATCATTTTATTGTACCCTTAGCCTTTAAAAAAATTGTTTGAAGAATGGTTATTGACTCCCCACCCTCACACCATGAGCTAGACATTTTGTTAGACGGCTGCCAGAAATAGCCTTGTTAAGGTAGCACATCCGAGATCTGTTTCCCATTTAGTGCCGTTACGACCACTGTGCAGAGAATGAATGCCGTAGGTTTGAGGGAAAACTTGGCACATTTGGAGGCTCGTTTCCTACCGAAATCTAACAAAAACCTCCTGTCCCATTAGGTTATTGTGAATACTTACTTTTCTAAAAATCATCCCAGAATGGGCCTAGCGCAGTGGCTCACACCTGTAATCCCAGTACTTTGGGAGGCCGAGGTGGGTGGATCACCTGAGGTCAGGAGTTCGAGGCCAGCCTGGCCAGCATGGTCAGCATGGTGAAACCTCGTCTCTACTAAAAACAGAAATTAGCCGGGCGTCGTGGCGGATGCCTGTAATCCCAGCTACTTGGGAGGCTGAGGCAGGAGAATCACTTGAGCCTGAGAGGTGGAGGTTGCAGTGAGCTGAGATTGCACCACTGCACTCCAGCCTGGGTGACAAAGTGAGACTCCATCTCAAAAATAAATAAATAAAATAATTGCAGAATGAAAGGAGACTTTCACTTTTGTAAAATCTCTTTCAGCAAACTTCCCCAAACTACAAATCTCCAAGAAGAGATTAGACCCTCAACTATTTGGTCTAATTTAGAGGATAAAACAAGCCAAATTCCACCATGTAGAAAAACAGCATAAAGTTGTAGGCAGCAGTTGATTCAGCAGAATCCATTTGTATTTAGTTGTGTAATCAATAATAATGGCTAACATTTATTGAGCATTTCTTATATCCTGACTCCATCCTGTGTTTTATATGCATTGTCTTATTTAACGTAAGATTATAGGCATCAAAGTTGCCTTTTTAAGTAGCTGGCTAAATATAAAATCCCTTTATATTCCTGGAATTTAACATAGCGCTTGCCTTTCTTGATAAAAAATCTTTTTGAAAAGAACTACTTTTTAAGTCAAAATATACATTTATTCATTGCTGGTTGCTTATATATTTCTGTCACTTGGTTTTGTTTGTTAGTTTTGACCTTTTCTTTTTGAAGGCTTTTTTCTCCTTTCCTACAGTGAAGCAAAACTTAACAAAACTGGTTTTGTTCAATTCCTTTTGGAAGAACAACTTTATCTGTGAAATAATCAACAGTGTTTAGCCCTGAGAATGAAGCAAGAAACTGCTTTCACTGTTCTATATGTCAATGATAATATTTTGATGATTCGTTTGGGACACAGTAGATCTCTGTTTTTTCATTTTGGACTAATTTATAGACATAAAATGCATTTGAATAATTCAGTGTTACTTTGATCAGCAATCTGCTGCTGAAATGTCCTTCACACCAAATTTCAATAACGCTTAATTGCATCATCTTATTGTCTTTAAATGATTGAATTAACAGATTAGTGAGGTCCCCTGTCATCTGAACATTTTCAGATTTGTGTTTTAAGCGTTTTTCTTAACGCCAGTGGTTTTGCAGTTTGTTTTTTAATTGTAAAGTATATCTTTATTTTTCCAGCTCAGAAGTCCCTTTCTGTTGGTTTGCAACTGAGATTGCCTTGTTGTTGGCTTTTCCTGGGCATAAGAAACATCTCACTATTTTAGACTAAATATATTTAAATACTTTTCATTTAGAAAAAAATAATTTCCAGTTTATCATTTTGTTGTTTGAATACCGTTTTAAACCTGTAAGTAAATTAAATTTCTCTTCTCTTAACAGTTATTTCTTTCCTTTGTAGACTACTTTAAGAAAAATGGCTTTGTCAGCCCAACAGATACCCAGATGGTTTAACTCAGTTAAGTTGAGGAGCCTCATTAATACCGTGCAACTCACAAAACGTTTTACTAGACCAGGGAGAACATTGTTACATGGCTTTTCTGCTCAGCCTCAGATGTCCTCTGACAATTGCTTTCTCCAGTGGGGATTTAAGACTTACAAGACTTCCTCCTTATGGAATAGTTCCCAGACTACTAGCTCGGGTAGTCAAGAGAATAATTCTGCCCAAAGCACTCTGCTTCCTTTGACGAATGAACAATCAGAGAAGACAGGAAAGATACCCAGCTTTGATTCTGAGGTGTTTCTAGAAGGTAATTCTGAACTTTCAGAAAACTCTCCCTTTCCCTACTTTGGTCATTTAAACGAGCTGCCTGTTTACAGTCTACTAGCTCATTTTAGGTAATATTTTGTACCAAGCAAGAAAAAAATAATGCCAGTTCTATTGATGGACTTCTATCATGCCTTTATTTTACTGGCTAAGAAAAAGAAGTTTGTGGGCTAACGTGTAAGATTATTTTATAGCTACACATAAAGCATTTGCTTTCTAAATACTTTATTTAGATTCTTTAAAAATTTTAAGTAGTAATTAGGTTTATTAGGGTATAATCATATCAAGTAAAATTCATCTTTTGGGGTATACAGTTCTATGAATTTTGACATATGCATTTAGTGTGTAACAACTACTGCAGTCAACAAATAAAACAGTTATATTACTGCAGAAAGTTTTCTGACGTCGCTTTTTAGTCCTCTACTTCCTGTGAATCCCGTTCTAGGAATATTTCACTGCTAATGAAATAATATGAGGTTAAGTAGAATATGAAGGAAAGAGAGCTGGGGAGAGGGTAGGGAGGAGAAGCTGGCTATAATTGATGAAAAAGGATAGTTAATGATAAGAGGCAAAAAATAGAACAAGAGATCCTAGACCCAATTCCTTAGCTTAAGGTAATGTGTAGTTCTAAATGTCTTCCATACTGTGTTTGATTTTAAAAAAACAAAAAAACCCTCAGAATCAGGGCTGTACTAGAGAGAATCACATCTCCTGTAGAGAGGACTACAGGTTGTAGAAACAATCATAGAAGTCCTCTTAAAGATGTGTTTGAGGATAATTTGGAGGGAGGGCATTGGGTCAAAATAAACTTTCAGGATATGGTTAATTTAACCCATGCAATTTAGGCTATTGGCATATGAATACTTTTGGCCAAGTTAACAGGCTATAGTAGATTCAATCTGTTTCAAAATGCACTTGAAAGTCTGGTGATCTTTAGCATTCTCACCTACTGATTAAGTGAAGGAAAGGAGTTGTGTGCTTTAAAATTTACCAACAATTTCTAATCTTGGAGTAACAGTAGTTAGTCTGTCTAAATAGTTTTAACCTTACCTCTTAAAAGTTGAAAAATTTGGGGGCTTCTTGGATGTTTAATTCTAAAATGATCCCAAGATTTAACCACTGAAAGAAGCAAACAAGGCAAGAGGCAGTCGTTGTAGAAATAGTTTTAAGTGTGCATATCAGAGCACTAACTTGTTTCTCTCTTTCAAAGAACTGGATGATTTGCCTCCATTGTCTCCAATGCAGCCAATTTCGGAGGAAGAGGCTATTCAGATTATTGCAGCCCCTCCACTGCCCCCATCTTCATTCACACTACGAGACTATGTGGATCATTCCGAGACTTTGCAGAAGCTAGTTCTTCTAGGTAAGTTTGCCTAAGCTACAAGTACTTTTTGAGTGTACTCTTCATGACGTTTTTGCTTTACTTTTTAAAATTAACATTTTCATCTCCACTAAGTAGTATACCAACAGAAGCAAAAGCCAAATAGTATAAAAAGGCGTCTAGTGAGAAACTGTACTCCCTGCCTCATCCTTGCTGATCTTGCATCCTATTCCCCAGATGTATCTTCTTAATTTGTATCATTCTTTCTGTTTGTGTCCAACCTCCACATTTTAAAATAATTGTTTGTAGTGCTGTTGTTTGGTTCATCACTTTTAGATATCATTTAATCTCTTGTATGTTCACATGTAGTTTTCCTGTATTCTTTTCAATTCTCGTAATGTAAGTTACAACTTTACATAAATCATTTGTAGTTACATTATGACTATAAATATTGCAAGCTGCCCTAACAAGAAGTATGCTATCATTATTTACCTTCCTTTACAAATTTTCATTTTTCTGGCATTAATAGTTGCCTTGTTCTTCATTTGATGAGTTGCTTTGTTTGTTTGTTCTTGGGTTAAATTCTTCCATATCTTTCAATAGCCTCTCAGCACCGTTTTTCTCAGTTAACCCTATGAGATGATGTATTGCATTTCCCCAGAGTGGATTGTTCCCTGCTTGCCCCACTACTCTGACATCGTTCCTGAAGCCACTGTCCTCCTGATTTGGATGGTTTCTGTCTAAGGCTGCTCTATAACTGTCTTTGCTTGTTGACCATTATGATGCACTTGGATCTGGATAGCGGAAGGAGCCAGGGAATCTCCCTCCAAACTTTCATTTAGTCATCTTATTTTTAGTCGGGAATTTCATTACCGACTTTCGCTTTTCTCGTTGTCTCTGGGTTTGGTGCATCTTATACTTGATTTTCCCAGATAATGAATCTCCTTTCTCCTAATGCATTGAGAGGAACTGGATTTGGGGGAGGTCAGATTTCTCCATACCTAATTCCCCAGTTTTTAGTCTGTACCTCACCTCTAATCTCTCAGATCTCTAGGGACTGCAATTTTGGAGGCTTTTGAGTTTTTTTGTGGTACTGATTGCTTACCACTTGCAAGATTCTCATTTGCAGGCATTTCAGTGCCTTCTTTCTCCTCTCTGATAAAGCTGTTGCTATGCTTTCATCTGTTTTCATTTATTGTGGTGGGGGGATATAATCTCGTTTCATCAAAGAATGATCTTATTTTTTGTTTCTCATTCCCCATATTTTTGGGAGGTGTTTTAACAGGAGAGGAAAAAGAGAAAAACCTTTGCCCTGTTAGAAACTTTTAGGAGTTATCCTTGATTCTTTTTTTTTTTTTTTTTCCAGATGGAGTCTCACTCCATCTCCCAGGCTGGAGTGCAGTGGTGCCATCTCAGCTCACTGCAACTTGCCTTCAGGGTTCAAGTGATTCTCCCGCCTCAGCTTCCCTGGTAGCTGGGATAACAGGTGTGTGCCACCATGCCTGACAAATTTTTGTATTTTTAGTAGACATGAGGTTTCACCCTGTTGGCCAGGCTGATCTTGAACTCCTGGCCTCAAGCCATCCACCCACCTTGGCCTCCCAAAGTGCTGGGATTACAGGCATGAGCCCCCGCACCAGTCCTCTCCTTGATTCTTACTACTTTTGTCCCGTCCTCCTTTGCATCTAATTTAACACCTTACCCTATGGATTCTACCATTTATATTTCTCTCAAATCCACCCAATTCTCTCATCCTACAGTTACTACCCCGTTTAGGTCCTCATTTGTCACTGAGTGGCTGCAGGAGCCTTCTATCTTGACAGTCTTCTCCTTAGCACTATTGACTCTGATATCTTTTCAGTGTTAGAGCTCTTTCTGAAATATAGATCTAACTCAGTGACCTATTTGAAATCCTTCAACACCTTCCCATGGCATCAAAACTCTTCCTCATATGGCTTCTGCTTACCTGTTCAGCTTCATGGCTTGCCACTTCCCTCCTTTGTTTAGCCAACTCCAACAACTGGAGAATATCACTGAAGTCCAAGTAACTTCTAAAGCGTCTTCTTGACCCTGCAGATAGAGTGACCCTCCTCAGGCTCTCATTTCAGTCCCTGCTCATTTGGATCCTAGCACTAATCACACTCTATTATAATTGCATACTCATGTCTCTGTGCCCAGTTACCCAAATGTTACCTATGTGTTTAGAATGGCCTTTGCTCTCAAGAAGCTTCAAGTCCTCAGAAACATCTAAATATATAAGAATAACTGGAAGCAAGGATAAAGGGTGCAGTGATAAGTCCCACATGAGAGATGCAAATAAAGTGAATCAACCTAAATGTCCATCAGTGGATGAATGGCTAAAGAAAATGTGGTATATTTACACAATGGAAGTACTAGTCAACCTTGAAAAAGGAGATCCTGTTATTTGCAACAACATGGATGAAACTTGAAGATGCTATGCTCAGTGAAATAAGCACAGAAGGACAAACGCTGCATGATCTCACTTATACATGAAAGCTAAAAAAGTTGAACTCATAGGAGCAGAGGGAGTTGGGGGGTCGGGATGGGGAGGAATGAGTTGTTGGACGAAGGGTACAAAGTTTCGATTAGACAGGTGCAGGTGCTGTAACTTCTGGAGATCTATTGTCCAGCATGATGATGGTAGTTAATAATAATGTATACTTGAAAATTGCTGAGAGAGTAGATTTTAAGTGTTCTTACCACAAAAAAAGATGGGTATGTGAGATAATGAATATGTTAATTAGCTTGATTTAATTTCACTATGTATACAGATGTCAAAACATCATGTTGTACCTCATAAATATATATAATTAAAAAAAAAATACTTTCAGAGGCAGGAAAAGGATGACATCTGCTGTGAGGAGATAATCATCTTTCCTTTTGAAACAGCTTTCCCTGTCCTTTGGCAGGTGCTATGGTGATACAAGGTAAACCTAAGACACAGTCCCCATCTTATCATTTTTGAGACACAGGGTCTTTCTCTGTCACACTCCAGGCTGGTGTGCAGTGACAAAGTCTTGGCTCATTGCAGCCTTGACCTCTGGGGCTCAAGTGATCCTCCCACCTCAGCCTCCCAAGTAGCTGGGACTACAGGCACATGCCATCTTGGCTAATAGGTTTTTATTTTTTGTAGAGGGGGGTTCTCACTGTGTTGCCCAGTCGGGTCTCAAACTCTTGGGCTCAAACTATCCTCCCACCTCGGCTTCCCAAAGTGCTGGGATTAGAGGCGTGAGCCACCGTGCCTGGCCTAGTCCTTGTCTTTCAATATTACAATATACTTACAGGTTTGGAATGTTTCCACCATTCCTTTACCTGTATGCTGATACTTCGACAGTATGTCTTAGAAGTAACTTAAATAACAGTAACAGGGGAGCCTTATTTGCTCTGTCAGACAGTATTTTTGAGTACCCAAGTCCTAGTTCTTCTCTGTTTGCTTCTGAGGCCTGTTTTCTGCCTGATCTGTATCCCAGGAGGCCAACCCCTGTGCACCAGGGCTCCTATGCTAGCTGGCTTCTTGGCAGCTTCAGCCAGTGGGAGGCACCTGCAGGACAGAAGGTAGAAGGGCCAGGTGGGGATATTTTTCCCCTGTTCCATCCCTTCTTTGGGTCTTGCAACTGCCTCGCTCCATGACAACAGCTCCTCCTGAGCAGCCCTTCCTTAATAGCCTCTAGTCCCTCTGCACCCTGGTAACATTTTGCCTCCTTGTCTCTGTAGCGTTGGGAGGGCTCTTGTTTGTTCTCTTAAGGCTGCTCGCACTGCTGTATAGAGTCCCTTCATTAAAGCCCTTGTCATTTGTACTTTACAGGGCATGTTGTATAGCCTGCTAGACCCTGATTGATGTACTAAATACGTATAACCATAACTGAATACAATGGTAATATTTGTAATTACTGAACTGATAAGGTAAAGCCCAACTAGACTGGTCACCTAGAGGTTAGAATCATGTGCTATTCTTTTTTTTTTATAATCCCAGTGCCTAACAGAAGTGCCTGGTCCGTAGTAGGCTTTCAGAGACTATTTATTCAAGTTAATGAAATGAAGTGAGCCCAAGTTATTTGCATTGAGAGCAGTGTGCACTCCTGTTGAGATTCTGCTCTCCTACTGCTGTTAAAAAGCAGCTTTTCAAGATTTCTGTTCAAGCACAGTCAGGGTGTGACAGCTCATGCTGAGCAAGGCACTTCAGTTCATGTCAGCTGTAATATTTAGTTAAATGTGAAGTCTGAACCCTTTATGTTATTTTTAAAGCATCTACTCCCCCATTTATCACACATTTTTGGAACTGGTTTTCATCTTACTTATTTGTCCATCTAATAATTGGATCTATTTTTCTACTAATTTTTTTTATTACAAAAGAATTACATCTGGTTGTCAAAAGTGCAAATATTATAAGAGAAGGACCTCTTACCCTCTCTCCATCCCCAGTTCCACTTCTCAAAGGTAACCACTAGTACTAATTTACAGAATAGCTTTCCAGACCTTTTACTATACATAGGTTTTATACTTTTCTGTAAACTTAATTTTCTTTAAATCTTTGTTTTTCTAGTAGAGCTAATATATGTTTAGATTCTTTATCCGGAATTAATTTCCACATAAGATATAAAGAGAATTATAATTTTTTAAAAACTATTGTTAGTGGTCCCATATATTTTAACAAATAGTCCATCTTTTCCCCCATGGATTTGAAATGCCACTATTGTATAATAACATTTTTTAGTTTATCCTGGATCTGTTTCTGGTCTTCATTCTATGAGTGTGTGTATTAGTCCATTTTCATGCTGCTGATAAAGATATACCAGAGACTGGGCAATTTACAAAAGAAAGAGGTTTAATGGACTTATAGGTCCACGTGGCTGGGGAGGCCTCACAATCATGGTGGAAGATGAAAGTCATGTCTACATGGTAGCAGACAAGAGAAGAGAGCTTGTGCTGTGAAACCCCCATTTTTAAAACCATCAGATCTCGTGTGATTTATTCACTATCACACAGCAGCACAGGAAAGACCTGTCCCCATGATTCAGCTACCTCCCACCCAACCCCTCCCACAACACGTGGGAATTCGAGATTTGGGTGGGAACACAGCCGAATCATATCATTGTGTCTATGTGTATTTAATCCATTTTGCTGTTTGTGGGCATCTTATATCAATACCTGTTTAATATCAAGAAATTTGGATTTATAATTATATTTGGTTCTAATAATATTTGGAGTTATAATGAATATGATGATTTATTTTTTTGATTGTGGATGTCACTAAGAAGTTTTAAATGTGGAGGTTTAAGGTTGTATACTTTCTGCTTTTTTGTATACTTGAAAGGCTATGTGTTCACTTGTTCTCACTCAGACATTTCTTGAGTTTCTCCCAGGGACTTGTCTCTGTGCTAAAGACCTAGAGATTACAATGATGAGTAAGGCACAGGGCCATTTTTATTCCCCCTATGATGGAAAACATAAACATGTATTTTAAATCATGCTTATAACTAAGGAAATGATAAACTCTTCATTTTATTCATATTGTTTGTTACCCTGCAGAAGTACCAGTTACTGTGGGGTTCATTAGGGACTGACAAACGTTCTGAAACAATATTCAAGACCCCTTAGACAAAGATGGGGGCCCTACACCAATATGACTTAGAGAATTTTTGGTGGGGGTAAATGTAAAATTAAATGCTCTATTTTCCTCTGTACTTGATTTTTTTTTTTTTTTTTTTTTTTTT